GGGCTGAAACTTTTGGTTTTTAATGGAAGAAACTGTTTTCAGAAATTACAGCTCAAGCCAAACAGAGTGGGTATGGTTTTATATAATTAATTTTGTCTGAATTGGTGTCCCCACTAAATCTATGTTGTTTCTAGGTACTGACTCTAGAGTGCTTCCCTGAAATGTTTATTTTCTTTCTTTAGCTTTGAAGTGCCAATAAAGGACACTGTCCTTAGACCCTGCTGAAAGGTTTTGTGAAAATACCCACATTAGTGTGTGTTTTTAACTCGCCCTTTACTCCTTCTCTTGAAATGGACATGGTTGTGCAGGAAGGCACCTTAAGCAGGTGCAAAAATGTTTGGTTGGGCTGGCAAGGTAAGAGTGTTGAAAAGTGCATTTTCTGGTAAATCAAAACCAGGCCTTGTGGTGGTGGTAAGTCCACACCAAGGGGGTAGTGCTGCACTTACTCGTGACAGGGAGCATCTAAGAGTGTCACTTCAGGGACAAAGTCATTCACTTTACTTTCTCCTTGGAATAATTATTTTTAATGGTTTTAATCGCTGACATCCTTTATATGTGGAATTTCAAGGGGTTTGATGTCAAATTTGAAATACAAACTAATTTTCAGTCTTAGTGCTATGTCCTGTCACTGTTCCCCAAAATTTTTAGAGCAGGATTGCAAGTGTTAATCCAATATTGGCACTCAGTTTAATTAAGGACATGACAACATAAACTGTTAGAGGTCTGGTTTATCAGAAAAATCCACAAGAACTTTCTGGTGTGATCCTAATACAGCATTGCACATGTTTTTAATTATGGCGTGAAAATGTCCAAATGGAGTTATAGAAGTAATTAGGAAGGGTTTCCTAGCACAAAAGAGAAACTCAGGCAGTCATTTATTTGCATTAAAAATAGAAGTTTAGGAGTCCCAGTCAAGAGCTGGGGTCCTCATTATTTGTAAACACTTCACAAACAGACCAATGAGTATTGTTACCCCCAACTATTGTTCATAGTTCAAGTGGTTCCCAGAAAATACAAGTTCAAGGAAATAATTTAACAGCACCTTTCTCTTTCCTATCTACACTTTTTGGAAAGGCAGTCTTCCCAGGAGCACTAGTGTGGCACAAATGGAAGGAGAAGGTAGAGGGAGCTGTCTCTGCTGCTGCCCTTGCCTGCAGGAGGAGAGAAGGGTGCTCTTCTGCTACCCAGGAAGCTTTTCCATCCTCTGTAGCCTGTCAGGAGCAGGCTATTTGTGAGCAGGTCCAGGCTATTCTGGGAAAAGTACTTTGCAGTAGTGCAACATAAGGAAGATCAGTTTAGATTTAATATTAGAAATGTGTTGTAACCCTGCACGTCATTGTCCATCTCACCAGAATTACCAGTGTTAGTGGTGATGTTGGTGCCTGCAAAGTCCCTCTGCATCCCCCTGACCTGCAGTAAACTCAGTCCTGGTGTTAACAGATACACACTGATGGAGCTGCTCTGGAGGGAGGAACCAGGGGTGTAACTGGATCTGCAGAGCTGGGAGGCTGCTGCAGTCCTGGCAGAACTTCAGGCAGGGTCCATCCTTGCTGTGGAAGAGCACGAGACACACAGTGTGGTGAAGCCCTGCCCTCAAGTCCCGTGCAGCTCCTTGGGTTTTGGCTGGGAAGGTGAAATTGTTTTGGCAGTTAGAATAATATCTTGAGTCCATGTGTTCCTAATGAGCCTTCCCAAGTAAGATGCTTATTAACTGCCCAAAGCAGCTCGCAAAATAATCCAAAAATAGCACAGTGACTGGTTACTCTGTCACTTTGCTGCAGATCTGATTAGGATAGAGCAGAGTGCCTAAATTTTGCCACATGAGCAGTATATTATGTCTTCCAGGAATGCTAACATGAAATATGTTTGGATTTTTTACTTGCTTGTTTTGTTTTTTAGTGGAGTTTATTTTTTGTTTAAAAAGCCAGATTTGTTTGGTATATTTGGGATAGTTTGATTTTTTAAAAAAAAATTACTATTAATATGTGATCACTGTAGGTCACTTCCATTCACAAAAGATACCTTATCAATTAGGTAACTTCTCTCTCTGCTATTAGTGATAAGATAGCCAACTGTTCATTCTCCTTAACTTTGTCTTAGTGTGTGAGAAACTGCATTTACAGAAATACCAGACATTCTGAGTTGAAAATACATTGAAGTTTATTCTGGGAGACTGGCGGTGGTGCAGCTATTTTAACATTTTGCATATGAATTTCCAGTATTTTCACACTCAAGTTATATTTGTTTTGTGAGTATATTATTAAGCTCTTACTAAAAATCAAAACAAAAACTAAAAATTGATGCTCAACATGTGCTGTAATAATGGAAGAATCTGCCTTCCGGTGATACAGAACTATGATGAAAATATTGTATATGAAGCAAGATTTTTTGTGAGGTTTTAAATGTGCAAGGTCTCTGGAAGTATGGTTGCTGATGTAAAAAGCTGAAAGGCAGTAAGAGTTAAAAAGAGTTGTGAGAAGAGCAGACTGCACCAGTACTACCCAACTTGTATTCTTAAGTAAAAACTGTGTGTGTTATTTACTCTAATTAGTAGTGTTTGCACAATCATTGTTAAAAAGACAGCCTTGTTTAGAGGTTCTTGTAAGCAAAATATATTCCCTTTTGTGGGGAGAGAGGTTCCTTGCATGCTGAGTATTTGTAAATGCTGAATTAACACTGATTTAGGTTCAGGAGATGGATTGTTACCTATAATATCCAGTAAATACGTCCCAGTGAGCTTGGGCTGGCAGCAGTTGGGGAGAAATGGTCCATATCTTTCCCAAGGTGTCAAAACCATAAAGTTTTAGAATTTGCAGTAGGACAGCTTCTGGCAAGTTGCTGCAAGGCTGCTGTGCTTCCCTTGGCTGAGATTGCTTGGCTCTTCTCAAGGCTGAACCCTCAGGCTTGCCAGGAGCCACTGAGTGTTTCTGCAGTGTTTGTTGTTCTCAAGTGCAGTTGCTTCAGTGGTAGGTGACATTTTTACTCCTCTTGGTATGTCCTCAAAAGGGAGGACTGCTCTTGAATGTAGTGGTGTAGTTGACAAAGAAAAATGTCCACAATAATCGAAAAAAATCTCTTGTATCTAGTTCTCAGCTGTATTTAACGAGTGGTCATGTACACACAGTGGGAATTTCTGCCCTTCACCAGATCACACAAGCATGTTGCAATAGGAATAATATTTCCATCATATTAATGCCTTGTGTAGTCTTGTGGGAAAAAATGAAAAACCCTGATGTACTCATGTAGGTAAGGGTGAATTTTCCCAGAGGTCAGTTTTGCATCAGAGCTCATGAGAGCAGGATGTCTTTAAGCTGGCTATGGACTAATCTAGAATTCGGGTTCTGCTGAGGGGGCTCTTACTGTGGGGATGCATTTTGCTGTGAGGTCTAAATAGTTCTCCTTTGTTTGTAGTACAAATGTGTATCACTGGTTTAGGTCATTAATTTTCTGCTTGTTTAATGTTCAACTCTTTCTTGCAATGACAGTTTTTTATTTTAGGACCATTGCTTGGACTAACCTAGAAATCTTGCTTCTTTGAGCACCAAATCAGAGCCTGCTGCCTTACCTTTAATATTTGTGTGTGGCTGGGATCACAAATATCCACTGAGATGTGGGCCTCATGTTTGGTGTTCCTAAAAAGTCATACTTGCACCCTGATTCCCATTATATTCCAGTGTTAGCATTTCCCTGGCACACAGGGCTGGCTTGAACACCAAGGGATAGTGTTACAGCCATTTACATATCAAAAAAGGGGAAGAAATGAAGGAACCCAAGTTGTTCTTGAATAGCAGTGCTCTGTGCTGCTCCCAGATCCTGTTAACATTGTTCACACAATGGAACACTTAATGAATTTGCAGATGGCCTGATTTGATCTTTTTTTTATCATTATTATTATTATTTTTTATTTTTAAGTGTAAATTTTCCCTTTCCAGGGGAAACAAGACAGTAGTTTTCTGCTGGGGTGAGAAAAACAAGGGGAATTATTTTGGGGAAAACTGAGAAAGGAAGATGAAACTGTGATATGAAGTGGGAGAGGGCAGCAGTGGCTGAATAACAGGAATGTCTCATTTCTACAGCAAATCTAAGGCACCAATAGTGTTGGTACAGATACCAGACAACATCTAATTATGAAATAGTGTTTTTGTCTTAAAATATTACTGAAAATGGAGGAAATGATGTCTGAGCTTGGGAGATTCTGAAATGTATCTCTGCTCTCATTAGAGTGTGAGTCAGGTATCCTCCTTGTTTACTCTGGCAAGCTGTCATAAAACTGCAATGTGTTACGTTGAGTAATTCCATGGACTTGTGTTTGGAGGTCACGTGGGGCACTGGTGGGACAGCATTATTGCCGCTTGGTTGGAATACCTGCCTGCTTAATCGTTCTGCAGATCTGTTCTTGTCCAAAAAGCAGAGCAGACTGGGGTAATGCTGAGTGCCAGCTTGGAAACAGATGTTTTGGTGTTGAGTTTTGGTCAACTCTTGGGTTCTTCCTCAAAGCAAACAAAATACCTCTACCTCTGTTAAAATTACTTTTAAAAGAGAAATGAAAGACATCTCTAAAACATTCCTGGCACTCAGATAGGTCCAGCTGAACCAAAATCATTACTGGTGGCTTTCATTAATAACATGGTAGATGAGCTTCTGCTGGCAAAGATATTACAGCCTCTTGTGGCTGCCTGCTTGGGTGGTTAACTGTGCAAACATGCATAACATTTATTCAGTATTTAATTTGAGTTAACCTTGCTGTATTTAAGGTGTTTGAAATTGTAATTTTTGCAATATTTTTTTTTTAATGCTGGGTTTTTTTCTTTTGTGATTTTAACTACCTCTTCAGTGAGTTGACCAGATTTTTTTTGTAGTTTTGTTCTATGTTCTTGGCAGTTAAAACACAATTATGATAGTACAGTTGATTATTTTTGTGGGATTTGTTTTGGGTAATATTTTAGATTTACTTTAAAGCTTCAAAAATGATAAAATTGTTTTTCTAACTTGACAAACAGGTCGAATCATTTATTTTGGACCAAGAAGATCTTGATAACCCAGTACTTAAAACCACATCGGAGTTATTCTTATCGAGTGCTGCAGAAGGTGCGGACTTGAGAACTGTGGATCCAGAAACACAAGCAAGACTAGAAGCCTTACTGGAGGCAGCAGGTACTTTCCTTGTCTAGTTCTTTTTCTGAACATGACTTGTACACAGATCTGGCAGCACATAAGTTTTGATACTTGTGAAAGAGTCTGGAAATTTCCCATGACAAGCAGAACATGGAAAAGAAGCTCATAACTCTTATAAGTGTTGAAAGTTGCTTGCTCCACTCTTTCTGTACATACAAAGTTAGAAAAATTAATTTAAATTGAATGGTAATTCATTGACTTGACATATGTTACCAGCAGGAGAATTAATGGGGAGAGACTAGAAGGAAGTAGACTTGCTAAAATGACTTTTTTTCCTGCTGCTTTGGTCAATATATAATTATTAATTCATTATTCTAGAAATTTACAGGTAAAATGCTTTTAAAGGTAAAAATTTAGAGGTAAAATACTTTTATATACTACTAAATACTAAAAAAAGCATTTTCAAATTCTGTAGTTCTGAGGTATCACTGTTGGAAAATACGTATTAAACATTCCTGTTTTGGAACCAGACCTGATGAACATAGTTGCCTCTACATTTATTAGCTTAAGAGTGAAAGCTTGACTAATTCAAATCCTCCTACAATTTGTGACTGGGGTGTTTGTAATGGAGTTGGAAATTGATTGTTAGTTTCAAAATTCCAAGGACAGAAAGATATAAAATCCCTGCTTTGAAACAAATCCCATTTGATCATCACAGGTGTATACTCAGACTTGTAGTATAGAAAATTGGAGATTTCAGACCTTACTTTGGAACACTTTAAGAGCTACATAAAATAGCACTTATTTGCAGGTGTTTAGATGCTAAGCTGTGTACAGTCTTAAAAGGAGAATTTTATTCTGACAAAGCAAAAGGGGCAGGGATTTGGGATTTGGGTTCTCTTTGCGTTTTGGATTTGAGAAAAACACAACTTAGAACACAGCACAGCTTTTGTCAGCAGGAAGTTGCAGCAGCATATCTGCTGTAACTCTTGAGGACCAAAGTTTGTTTTGTGGGGAAGACAGGCTGTTCCTGGGATGCTCCATGCACAAAATGAATTTGAATAATTTTTTTATTCCCTAATAATTTATTTAGTCCCTTTTTAAGTGCTTTAAAAAATAAAAATCAGTTCCTTTTATGTATCTGGTGGCTGCTGTGTCCCAAAGCCTAATTCTGGCTTTACAAATTGCCAGTCAATCTGACTGGTCTTATGGAGCAATGCTGGTGCTGCAGTGCTCACAGGGATCTCACAGTATTTGACATATCTAGGAGGTATCTTTGCTGCTTGTAACACCTGTGAGAATGCTGTCTTCAGATTTCTAAGCAGTAGTTGGGTATTTGTCCCCAGTATTCGACAGTTTGTTTTTTAGCTGAGGTTTCCATGTCTTGGTTTTCCCAAGTACACGAGCAGAGTGGAAGGAATCTGGAAAGGAGAGCAAATCAAAAAAAAGAGTGCCTTTGAGGACTTCATCTCCCTCTCTAAAAAGACTGGACACAGTTAATGCCATTTTGATGAATGTGTGAGATCAAAAGGGTGAAAGTACTCTGGGCGAAGTTCTCTAGTTAAGTTGTACTTGTCTTTCCCACTGTGGATTGGAACACTAAAAATATCAGGCTAACCTAAAGAAGATGCTGTGAATCTGGTAATTCATTAATACAAGCCATAATTTGACAGTGATTGAAAAAGAAGCTAGTGATTTTGGGAGATGCTCTAATATCTTTGCTGGATTTATCTGCTTGATTTGGCTGAAAATACCCTTTTTAACCCTAAGTGAGCTTCTAGGCTTCCATCATGGCAGCCTACTGTTGGGCCTTTGTATTCTTTTGCAGCTTGGCAAAAGCAAGTGATTTCTTTTAGTCATAGTTCAGTCCTCAGCATTAAGGATAGCTTGGAAAAAGTAGATGGCAGAACTATGGCTCAAACACATTTAAGGTCTTGTCTGTAGTTCCCAGGCATAACTTGGCCTTGGTTGTGATTATCCCCCTGTGATAGGCTTGATTCCACCTTACAACCTAGCGGAAAATCAATCTTGTGTTCAGTGTCTTGGATTTCTTGGGGTTTCTCACATGCCAGGTTTGTGGCTGTGTCATTAGGATTTTAATGAGTATGACTTGCAAAGCTAGTTTGGCTCATTCTTCCTGAATCCTTTAATGCTCAGATCTCACATGGACATGTTGTTTATTATTTCTGGAAGGTAAGTTCTAGCAACTGCAGCCACATGGGATATTATTCTTCAAAGTACTTGTGCAGAAGTGGTTTTCAATTATTGTGTACTGTAGGACTTGCAGGAGTTGTGTTTTGTTTGTAAGTAGCTGTCTTGATTTGAGAGCTGCTGCACAGGTGAGTGCAGAAGCCAGAGGTTATTTGAACTGCTTGAAAATGTTTTTTAGAGGTTGTATTTACCCAACATGAGAGTGCTGGGTTTTTTTTCACTTGCTTGTTCGACTTGCTTATTCTTTTTCAAGGATTGTGGATATTGAAGGTGAGAACCTTAAGCCAAATTTTTAACTAGAGTGTTGTGTCTCACTCCCCCTTGGCATAGCAGCAGTTACACACATGTACATATCCATGTCCCCACAAACACAGATTTCTTGTTTTTCTCTGAAAACCTGCCTGATTAGCTTCAGTTTAGACAACCATACTTTATTCTGTGAAAGAACAGGCACTTTATTAATGAACAACTACCTTTAAACAGCTGTCAGTGTTTGTATTATTTCACAAAAAATAGTTCTACAATCTGAAGATTAAGGGACCATTGTAAATACCAGTTGTTTCCACCTTCAGAAGCTGAAAATAAGATAAAACAATTGAATCCTGTTGTTTGGCAAGTTTTAACCTAAACAAACCAAGTCTTGTATATCTTACTTCAGTTTAACTCCTATTAGCAGAGAAGGGATTTATAGGTAAAATAACTTATAGAATGAGAACCATCCTGCTTAGAGGATGTTTCCATTTTTCAACCTGTAATTAGACATTAGTATTCTGAGAGTGGAGTTCTGTTCTGCACTAGAAACATTTTGCTCTGCTGTTAATTAGGGTACTGTTGATTTCTTAAAATAATATTTCAGCTCTGAAGAGTCATGATTCATGTGTGGATCTTCAGTAAGAAAGTCTATTAAATGCCCTTTTTAGGGGCAGTAGTTGACAGCTGGAGATGAGAGCTCTTTGCTGCTGGGAATGAGTGGTTAGAGTGTTCAGAGCTCTTGCTCTTCTCAGTGGGTTCCTTGGGGGTCCTCAACATGTGTTGGTAAAAGGTCATAGGGGGAAATTCCACCAGGTTAAACCCATTTAATTTTCTGTTCCCGACTAGTATCAGCATCAGGAAGGGGAAATGACTCGCTTGTGTTGTGCAGTCCTCTTTCTGCAGGTTGTTTTAGAGGATAGAGAAAGGTGTTGGTTCAGGCATGTGGCCAAATAAAAATCCTGGAGCCCCATTTGGCATATTCTACACCGAAAACACAGATTTCTATAGAAAGTTGTGAAATGTCAAAATGTTAATCCCTGGAGTTAAAATACCCTTGTTGATAGTGTTTCAGCATGGTTTGGCTGAGTTTTCTGGGAAGCGATATAGAGTGTTACTGAACTGCTTTTTGACTTGAGGAAATAGCTTGGGTGCCTCTGTCCCTACCAGCAAAGATTTTAAGTGTGTTCCTTCTCAATCTGAACATTGAAACACTTTGACAATGAAGCATCAAAAAAAAAGATGCAGAAGAAAGTGGTAAAGAAACTTCAGCTGCCTTTGGAGGACATGATGTTCCTGTTGAGTATCTACACAGGGAGGAGTTCTGTAAGCAGTGAGTTCTTCGGGACTCCCACTATTGTTTGCAAAGAGGCTTGTGAGGAAAATATTTTGAGAGAGAGAATGTTGAGCCAAAGGTTTGTTTAATGAAACATGTGAATAGTCCATCCTTATGTTCAAACAGGGAGCAGAGTTATGCACATCCTTCTTTTTTGATGAAATACAGTATTAAAGGTGGCTGGAGACCCTCACAAATGATTTGGTGTTTTTGAGACTTTGAGGGATTAATTGTTGTGTAAATGGTGAAAGAGAAATCAAGTTCTAATAACGTGTGTCAGTTAATACCTGTGAATTTCAATAGTTCTTTCAGGCACGAGGGCCTGATACTGCTCTTTGGGAAAGCTAATAGGGTGATGGTGGGGGAATAGGTTATGTATTTTGGAACTGGGGAAGGCAAAAAGTAGAAGTGATCACTTGCTTAGCAGAAATATAGAACAGGGTTCATAATATGAATGAGCCTAGATGAAATCTACCTGCTTTAGGATAAACTGAAAGGTTAGAGCAGATTCAGCAATTGTGAAATTGAGTGCTTTCCTCTGTGTATATTTCTGTTTCCTCACTTGCCAACCTATTGACCAAATCTCCTTTTTTTTTTTTTTTCTTGTGATGTGACCAAACCCATTCATTATTCACTAACAGGGGTTACCAGGGAGTGAGCTGTGCTCTAAAAGAACAGTGCCAGAGAGGCACAGCTTGCTATCATCCTGCATCCGAGGGAACCCTCGGAAAGTGTCAGAGACTGGGCTAGAGAAATTCTTTGATCGTGTTATTTATGATGAATAAGATTCATGTGTGGACTTGGTGTTTCTTTTCTTAGGGCTGATGAGTAACTAAGCTGTGATTTAAATGAAGGTGAGCATTAGAAACTTAATATCTGAAGGGTTGTCCAAACTCCACTTGAAACTGTAGAAGTGAGGGTCTGCAGGAAACAGATTCATGTTTGTCAATTTATTGGTTGCACCTCTGTACTTGTGGAATACAGGAAATGCATATCTAGATCTGTATTGGTGTTATGAAATAAAGAAAGAGAAGCAGGGTCTTTTTTGGGGTGGGAATCAGGATTGCTGGAATTTGAGCAAAGATATAACTTTATTGTAAAAAGGTTGCAATATCAAATTGTAAGGGGTTTTAGCCTCTTTCAACATGGCCAAAATCTTCCCTTAGTCCAGTTATGTGATGGATTATAAACCAAGAAAGGCTTTTCACCATAATTTGATCTCATCTAAAATACTTGGTGTTAC